CAGCAGGAAAACCTCCGCAGGAAACCAAACAATCTGCTCTAATCATGAGGGTAAATCTACACACTGACATGCTCACTGGGCTTGCTATAGACTCAAGTGACTCCTAAGGAGACTCCTCCAGTCTGCCAGTGAAATAAATACGTGGGGGAACTGTTTTCAGGAAGTCTGATTATGACATCAGCAGAGTGAAAAGGCTCCTCTGGAGCTGCCCTCGTCTGTTGAGTAATTACCAAGTTGGGACTGGGGGCTGAAAGTCTCCTTTCAAGCATATGGAAAGACTAGATGCACATGTGGAGTAGCTAATTTTAAAACTGTGGTATATCCTCCATTTCCCCTCCTCTCCCCCTTTGCAGAATACCAAAGGGGTTAGGTCACATCCCAGAGCAATCACTTGCTACGGTTCCTTTCTCCCCTCTGTTTTCCTTTATCAAACATATTTCTTTCTTTTCCTCTCTTGTGCTCCTAGGCAGATCTTACACACCAGGACGTAGCCTGGAGCAAATATTGTCTAGTCAAGTTAATAAAAAAAAAGAAAAAAGAAAAAGCCAAACCTTTCTTCCAAATGAGGCTTTATAATGGAGATGTTCCTGGTCCCTTGTCTCCATTGTTGCTAATGGAGACAGTGTGTTGCCTGGTTTACAGGCAAGCAAAGAAATAACCAAGAGGTGATGAGCATAGGGAGGTTAGCAGCAAAGGCTGGAGACCAAGAAAACAGATAGGCAGGGACAGAGAGAGGAGGAAAGAAAACTACACTTTGTTGAATGAATAGCTTCTAACAAGCTTGAAGGAAAATTGATTATGATTTTATTACCATATTTTATGATGTCACTATAAAAACAATGTCCCGAAAAAGCAATTAGGCTGAGAATGTGAATTTTGCAGCTGTATTTTCCTGGCCCTCCCCTGCCCTGTCAATAATTTGATGAGCATCCTTGTGTCGTCATCATGAGATGCTGCTCACTTTGTGCCTTCCAGTCCTCGAAGACCAAATCATGGATGGGGTCAGAGTGGGACAGACCTGCAGAAAATCAACCAGAGATTAATATTGCTGCTCCTTCCCCACCCAGGGAGTTGAATCAGAGAAGACTTCAAAGCTTGTAGGAAATTATGGCTTCTCAGCTCTGCTAAATCAGCAACTTCAGGGACTAAAGGCGTGCAAGTCCCTTGTGATTTCAACTCCAAGTGGAATTGTCCTGTCTGCCCCTCTAAAAAGTACCTCCTCAGAAGTGCCTCCATGTAGGCACTCCCCAGCTGACTCCCATCTGCTCCCTCCAAGTCCTGCTGCTTTTTTGTGCACATTCCTCTGAAGGGAGGGTGAAACAAGCGAAAAATATCATGTCAGGCAGCTGTTTCCATGAGTGCTGGCTTGCACTGTGCCTTTGCTAACAACATTTCTGCCTCAGTTTCCCCACCTTCAGCCCATAGGTAGAAGCAGCACTCATGGGATTTAGCTGTTGCCATTTACCCACATGGATTTTGTGGTGATTTAACTGAACTGCAAAGCCCTTGTGTATTGATGGTGTATTTTTGCTCTCACCAGACCAGTTTCCTCAGTCCACCTGACTGTAAATGTTGACAGCATTTAAGTCTCCACCCAGACAATCTGCTCTGCTCCTGGGGGGAAATGGGCAGGAACCTCACTTCCTCTCAATATCTTCTTTAGAAGGGAATGCCAGGGGTGAATCTTTGCATCCATAGATGAAAAAGGGTGTTTTGGCATCCAGCTCAAATGGAGAGAACTGTATTTCATTCTTCTGGGCTTTTTCAGAGGAGTCCCACCCTCTTGGATACAAGGCCAGCAAGGGTTAAAAATACATCCTCACCAGCTGAATCAGACTGATTTTAAGTGGCCATTGTTTAACCTGTGCAACTTTCCAAGTTATCACCCCTTGAGCAAATAAGGTGCTTTGCAGACTGTTGACTAAGTCTGCTATAGAGACTAGGTACCCTCTTGAGCCCAAAATATATAAAGGCTCCAGAACAGACTGTTGGGTGGAAAAAACTCTGGAGTGTAATTGTGCAATGGCTGGTCAGCACTAACGGAACAGAAGGATGAAATGTTGCACGTGGCAAAGCTGTCTTCTCAGCTGTTCTTTGGGAGTGTTTGAAAGAGTTAAGCCCAATACTGGAATGTCTTGGGAATGTTGGCAGAGGGAGAGCAAGCAGCTTTTTTCCTCCCTCTGGATGGAGTCCCAGGACTGAGCTTGCAAAGTGATGACTTTGGATCTGAGTTTGTTCCTTGGTTCTGCAGCAGAGAGCTGGGATGTGATGCAGTGTAACCGAGAAGCCCTTTGCGAGGGATGTGCAATTGCCTTCCCAAGTCAGGAGAGGGTTTTTTACCTCCTCTGCTCACCCCTGGGTGCAGCAGAGCTCACTTTGAGAAGATACATGGAGGGAGAAACCACATCCTGAAGGGTGTGTGCAAAGGGAGAAAGACACATCCCCAAACAGTTTATTTTGGCTGCTGGATTTTGTTGTCGGGTTTGGTTTGGTGGTTTGGGCTTTTTTTTTTTTTTTTTTCTCCTTTCTTTTCCTTCTCCTCCTTTGATGGAAATTGCAGTGACTTTTTAACCTTGCAGTTCCTAAGGCGCCTTGGGATTAGCTGCTTGTGGAGCCCGGGGTGTTTCACACAAGGAGCTGGCATGGCTGCTGTGCTCTTTGGCTTTGAGGATCTGCTCTACAGCTGGGACAGCCTGGTGTGGAGCCTGACGTCCCGGGCTCTGAGGACTTGCCGCTTTGGAAACCTGAGGGTCCTGCAGCTCATGCTGAAGCCATGGTGCATTTCCAGAGCCGTGTATCAGGTAGGGTTACAAAACACCAGGCCAGACCCTCAAACCTGGTGCTGCAGAGGGGAAACCCTTCAGGGAGTAGCACAGGGTCCTGTCCTGTTCTACCAGCTGCTACGGGTCCCACCACAGGTGGTGGGGGAGAGGAGACTCCCAGGGTATGGGAGGTTTGGGAGGATAAATGCAGGTTTTGGGGGTGGTGGGGTCCCCCATGACCAAATACACAGGTCCAAACTCTCCTTCCCACATAGCAGAAGGGAACAAAAAAATGCAAATGGAGGGTCACTCTGCTATATTCCCTTATCCCCTTTCTTTGAGCTTTCTACTCAGAAGTACAGCCAGCCTTAGCTGTGCTGTGTCCTCAAACTGTCCCTCTGGCGGCACAAGAGTCATTTATATTTTATCCGGAGAGGACACTGAAAGACACGTAACCTGCAGAAAGCAGGCAAAGGCAGTAGATTTTTAATTGCAGTGGCACTAGTTATCCCTACCTGACCTGTGCAATATAGTCCTGGCTGCTCCGTCTTGCAAAGTCTGAGTCTCGTTGCCTAAAACTTTTGTTTTAGTTGTGTGTTCAGTGTGGTATAGAGAGGTTGGAGGCTTGGTTGACTGATTCTCTGTGGAGTTACACTGACTGCTTATAGCTTGAGGTATGACAAAACAGCTCTAAAAAACTCCCTGTGTTTCTGATGCTGGCTAAACTGGTTTAAATAATGTGAACATCACAGCACAAGTACTAGGACTGGATACTCATTCCAGTCCGTAGGTGAGCCCAGGTTGAAATGCCACTGTAAACCAACCAGTATCCAGCTCATCTGCTTGTTTAATCAGCCTCAGACAACTCAGGCTAGACACTTTGCTGGGGAGACAAACCCATTACAATATTTATCAGCTTTACAGATTTGGCTAATGCTGGGTGCTGGATTGACTGATTGGTGTTCGCATTTGGAAAAGGCATTTTCTGCTACTCCCATTTGCTTGGTATTTTCCTTTTCCTCTGCTTTGGAAGCCTCCATGTGTGAAGCCAAATTATACAGAAGAAGCCAGATGAAAAGCCTGTAGAAACTGTGTGCATTACTTAGAAGGTCACCAAGGGAAAACTCCTAGTAATTTCAGCAAACTTTGAACCAGCTTTGAATCATACTCTGGTTTCAGCAGACTTCAGGAATAGATTTTATGGCCTCTTTAGAGTTCAGCAG